AAAACTCTTCGACACGGTCTAGCACAGAGCATTATTGGAGCCTTATAAATACATCAGCTATCAAAGAGAACACACTTATGACTCACACACATATAATTTGACTACATAAAAGACATTGTAATGATATAATAGTCTTGTCTCCACAGCAGATTGCAATACAAGTTGCTAGTAACGAAAATAGTATGCGCTACATACAAGGTAATCCTAACTATCATGATGAGCATATATTGATGTGATACGGGTGTGCGTTAGTAAAAAGTACGACAAAGTTTGATTTTTCAGAACTGAAAATTTTCCAGGAAAAATACGAATAGTTAGAGGATTGGGCGTCCTGGTTCCGAATCTGAAGTGATTTTCGACCTATTTTGACTCCTAATATCATTTTCCGGAAATTGGGATTCAGGGGTGTTTCCATTAAAAGTGGGTCACACTGTATAGCTTCTCGTGATGACAAAAATTTACTTCAGTCAGTCACATAACACCGAGCATAACACTGGGTCAGTAACAAGGTAAGTATACAGGGTGTAAATTTGAAAACTTCCAATGCGAATATCTCGCGAAAGAAAAAGGCGAGAAAAACGCCGTTTGGCAAAAATGCTAAAGAGTTAAGGGGAACTAGAACCACCATATTTCGGTCAAGGGATGAGTCACCCCGTCGGCGCGACACACCCCAACTTTGAAATGTCAAATGGCACTACCTCTTTTGTGATGCCTCAAATTAACAGTCTCAGTCAGTAGTATTCACCTGTACAAGACTTTTTCTCCACCCACTACAGGGTGAAAAATATAAAGTCGAAAAAAATAAAATGAATTGTGTTAAAAGGATATTTTATTTGATCAGATGTTCAAAATGCATTCCATTCTGTTGTAAGCAATAGTATAATCGATGTTCAAATGCCATTCTAACATTTTGGAACACATCTCTTGGAATATATCGGCATTCTGCATTTTATTTTATTCGACTTTATGTTTTCCGTTCACCCTGTAGTGGGTGGAAAATAAGTCTTGTACAGATGAATACTACTGACTGAGACCGTTTATTTGAGGTATCACAAAAGAGGTAGTGCCATTTGACATTTCAAAGATGGAGTGTGTTGCGCCGACGGGGTGACACATCCCGTTACTGAAGTATGGTGGTTCTAGTTCCCCCTAACTCTGTAGTATTTGAGCCAAACGGCGTTTTCCTAACTTTTTTATTTAGCGAGATATTTGCATTGAAAGTTTTCAAATTTAGACCCTCGACTTGATGTTTTTCGTACACCCTGTAGTGGGTGGAAAAACAGTTCCGTTCATTTGAGGTATCACAAAAGAGGTAGTGCCATTTGACATTTCAAAGTTGGGGTGTGTTGCGCTGACAGGGTGACTCATCCCTTCACTGAAATATCGTGGTTCTAGTTCCTCCTAACACTTAAGCATTTGTGCCAAGCGGCGTTTTTCTAACTTTTTTTATTTCGCGAGATATTCGCATTGAAAGTTTTCAAATTTACACCCTGTATATCGTCGCCTTAGAGCTACACTAGGACATCAACGAAATCTTCGTTCGGAGATAATTCGTTTTCAAATTTTCATGATTACTACAATCTTAAATATTTTGGGCTCTAGTGAACACATCACAGTGAAATTTTCGAAACTTTCTGAACTTCCTAGTATAACCCAAATGGTGTTAATTTGAAATCGAAAGAAGCTTCTGGAAATAAATAATATGCACTGTTGCTATTGAACTCTATGACATTTTGTATAGGATATCGAAAAGAATTGTGATTTTTTCACCAGTTCACTTACTTAGTGTGTCTTGAATGATCAGTATTTTGACAAGGATTTCCTCTTGCAGAGGAGAGTACTTTCATCTTGTTGAACACCCTTCATTGATTCAATTCGAATACATTAGGAAAATGAACCTATCACAGAAAATAACGAATTAAGTAATAGTAGAAAATTGGAGATCGCTAGAGATTTTTTGGCCATTTCAACTATGTACTGGCCACTTGAAAATGAATCATTCTTCAGTTCAATCTTTGGATTTATATTGATGGATATTTACTGAGACAATCGAATACAAAACTATTCTGAAGGCGTTTTTATCAGTTCAATCGTTTCCAGAATACTGAACACGATTAGACATGTAAAAGTATTGAAACTGGGCGATAGAGCAACATTAGGATATCTACAGTATTGGCGTGAGAATCTCAGTGCTATACAGCAGGATATGGTATCATAACCTAGTGTTACATTGACTGGATATAGAATTTAGAACTTCTGCAACACAAAGATCTGTTGAAAATAAAACATTCAATTACGTCATAAGGCTTTACTTAGTGTTTCACTAGGTGCCGATATAGTTCATAATGCTGAAACCTCAATAATCTCCAAAAGCCCCATTTTTTGGATGTCCTACTGTTGCTCTGAGGCGACGATATGAAAATTTGTGATATGGAAAATATTGCCACATATTTTCGAAGAGGATCATGCATATGATAATTGAGAAATATATACTTATATAATATATGTACTGAAAAATATAGTATGTTTTTCTGAAAAGCGCAAAGCATCAATGATTCAAATATGAAAAAATATACAAGGCGTTCCATTTAAAAAACACAACTGTGGGGTGAAGGTAGGTACATACCTAAATAATAACAGCATTTTGAGAATCTGACTATACGCCATTATATTCTACGTGAAAAAATGTATAACAGACAGTTTTTACTTTTCCTGTGAGTTGAAACATTGCTGAAATACAGGAGGTCCCGAAATGCAACATTTTTAATTTCGCCCTGTATCTCAAAAATGAATCGGGCTATCAAAAATGTTGTTTGCGGTATGGCGAGTTTCACAAAAAAGTATAGCCAACGTTCGCGAAAACCGAAAATCTCTTCTGAAAATAATTGATGAGATATCCCGTATAATGACATCGGAAGTTTCACAAGGAAAGAAAAGTTATTTTTGGAGTATATGTTGTTATTGGATGCATTGATGAAGAGAGAACTATGCCACTGAGACTTATTCATTGAAACGTTATGTGGGTTAGAAAATTTCATGAAATACTATATAGGTTCGAACCTATTTTTTGGCTTAGAATCATTATATAGGGACATACACTAAACACAATCATGTTAATGGACCCAACTTAATTTTACAATTTTTGTGGGTTAGGACCATTCACCACCAAAGCGACGATATTTTATACTTGGAAGTTTAAATCTGTTAAAAATGATTCCTGGAGATACTGAAATTGCATAACAAAGTTGAGACAAATTTTAATTGGGAAATCTAATAATACCTATCTACCAAACTTGTTATTATCTCATTAGCAATTAAGAACGTATATAAGGTTAATTCAGTAAACGCTGTATAATAAATTGTTAATTGTTCTGCCTACTCGGATAATTACACCCAATTGAAAGGGTACTTTTATTCCTTTTGCATTCGACCAAAATAAATGGAAATTAGGATCAATTTCCGGATCATTCGCAATGAGCTACACAGAATAATTAACGGTGACATCAAGGTATATAGATATTATATACCAAGAAGTATACTATATAATCCTGATATTTTCATGAGAAGTGGGGAATTAGCAGGATTGGCTCAATTTCTTTCATTCATCATCCTCCGAGAAATAATCGGACACTGATCCTTGAGTAATTCCTTTGTTTATACAGGGTGTTTCATAATATGTGAGACGCACTTCGAGAGGTGATATGACATCTCAAGACAATGAAAAAAGTTCCCATAAAAAGGCTTCCTCTTCGAGATATAAAGGGCGCGTTAAAGTTGCAAATATTTATGTCCACCCTGTATGGCTCATCGTGTTTTCTGTTATAGACTGGCATAGTGCCGCAATTCCAAAATGATATGTATCATGGTTATAGAGTAATCTGAACAGATATCTTGAATAGACTCTTATATCCGACAGCTATAGGTATATACATGAAATTTTTGAGTTGAAATTGGTTATTCCGTTTTTCTCGAAAACAGTCTACTTCAACAAGTCTCAACATCATAATCACCATAATATATATGGCACATGCGATTATGAAATGATACATTGAAAAATTGCCTAAAATTCAACTTCATCAAAGTTCACCTATAAAACGATTTTTGTTACACCATAAGGAGAATTGAATTCAAGGATGGATACACAGCTGGAGGACTAAAAATATTTCGAGTTGAATGGAAATTGTCGATTATAACAGCAACAAACATTTTCAAGATTTTAATCAACTTCAAGTTCATTTCATTGACCTGAAGAACATTCGAGAAACG